GAATGAATGAATAAAATGCAAAAAATAATGTATAATTGCATAAATAAATAAATGCATTAATAAATCAATAATAAATAAAAGAATAATAATGAAGGAAACAAATAAATGTTACGAACTATCACAGGAATAACCATCTCCAGCATATTCAGGCTCGTTACATATGCATTCATAAGTCCCATCAAGTAACATACAAGTAGCGAACTCATCACAACCGGTAGGTAAACAGTATACATCAGGTTCATCACTCCAAATTGATCTAATTTCACATTCACATATTAGTTCACAATTCTCACTATGCCATTTATCTCCGATCTGCAACAGAAAATGCAACATAAACTATTTTGCTCCTAATATTAGAATCCTGAATAGAACGTACTAGGACAAATTATTTTATTACAACTATTCATAAATATAAGAACTGTTCAAATAACATGAATAGCAATAAATAGGTGTTGTAACTGTATACTGTGATGTTGCCCTATGTCAACTTTGTGTATTTACTAGTTGGTGATGGTGGTTCAATTAACCTGGCAGATGATATTTTGTAGGCTGAACCCCGTTCATTGCTGCTAGCAGCTATATTTATTCTGTGTATGCATGTTTACCGAATATGATATGCCATTTTCTAAACAACCACAATCATCTGGATCAACGCAGTCCGAACCATCTAATATCTTGCCGCCAGTACAAAAACACCCGGGAACACATGTGTTGTTCAGATAGACTGGACACTCCCTCTCGGCATTGGGGTTGACACACGTATTTTGACATGCTGTCCCACAAGTCCTATATTCTTTGCCATCTTCACACTGATCTAATTGGGGAAATAATCGTAAATAAATGTATAAAAAACGAAAATCTTGATTTAACAACAATTCAATAACACTATGTTGTGATTTAAACGTTTTCTGGTATTGTAATTTATTCCTGAAAAATGTATTGATAATCAATAACAATTAGAGTAAAGTGATGTATCACAAATATAACTCTTGTGTGATGGGTGATTCTTTGTTGTCGTTAATTCTCTTTTCACACACGTACACGAGTGTTGCACGACTGGGTGTCTGTACTTACTGCAATTGGTTTCTGTGATCCAGTCGCCCAACTCAACATTCTGTTCTGTACAACGGTCGGCGTATGCCTGAACGCTTGGACAGTGCTTCCCCGTGTGGCAGTAGTCGTAATCACACGAGGAATAGAACGGCCCTGGTGGTACGGATGAATGACAGTTCGCGAATGGACCTGTGTATAACAAACAAACAAGACAATATACACAATTATTCAAAGCATGTCAGATAAACCTCCCATAACCGAGGACTTAATTGTGTGAAAGAAGGCCATTTCTAGTGAGTGCTGACTTCGGGAACGCTTGTCATGCGACAAAGGTACTGCATTGTTTTTTGTGGTCTAACCAACTGTGGATGACGTCTTGCAAAGTTATTCTTTGTGTGACAGCAAATAACAAAACAGTATCAGTTTATGTATTACACGCGTCTTCGCGACATGTATGCAACGCACACAGTTCTATCCTATGCTGTATTAAGTGATAATGCAGTTCTTACCAGCAGGATCTGTTATGGACTCACAAGGCACTGGAGGTGGACACGTGACATCCAGCGGTGGAGGTGCGGGGTCGCAGTCACTTCCTACAGACCAGCTATCCCCAAAGTCGTTAACATTTGTTGCCTGTAATTTACAATAGACAAACTCTCCATTTAATCCCACGTGATTTGAGGTGTACTATAGCGCCCCTCCATAACCATCATACATGGACTCGATATACTTCGTGAATATGATATTTCTTATATTACTCGATTGTTTACAACATGCAATGCCGAGTCATGACTGACCTCTGTTCCATCACGCATGTATTGAATATCTGTTCCTATGGTGCCACAAAGGCCCCTTGTTTTGCTGTCGTATTCATTTGTAAGTTTCACTTTAACGTAGTGATAACCATCCCAGGAAATTTCAGCTCCGAAATCTGTGATGACCACCTGTGACATAAAAGGAAATTGATATCAATATCCATATTAAGATTCGAAGTCATAATTTAGGTTTTATAGTGGGGTAGTTTTGCCGGAAACGTGTTTAGTGTTCCTTGACCTTAACCTTAGACTTAAAATCTAGCAAGGTCTTGCGGCTCAGATAGGTAACGTGTGTAAAGTTTGAAGGCGGTAGCTATTTAATTTTATGCTATAAATATGACAAAATGACCAACTTTCCTCCTACCATTCCTCTTCCAACCGTGACTCATTCCGAGTCGCTTGAGGATACTGATGAGGAATATACTTCCTGTAAGCCAGGAATGACCAAACTCATATGAATGAGCGAATATCCGTTGCCCAGTTGCCAGTTAATTATTCTCAAAATAACAAAGGATGAGATTTTTTTTTATCAATTTGTTATTATTTGTAAACAAAAAGTTAAAGAACCACAATGAATGACTTTGAGTATTTTCCAGCATGTTCAAATATTTGGTTTTAATATTGTATGACAACTTTATGGCATGATTTTAGGAGTACTTGTTCAATTAATTAATGAAAACCTCTAAAACTCGCGCATTTTTTATTTATCCGTACCTACAGGTAAATATTCTTCATTCGCTGCTTATGTCGGGAAACCTCTAAAACAACGTAATTAAATGCGTAATCATATGCATACGTAATACTAGAAATATATTATTACAAAATCGTGAATATCTAAATACATATTTTAATTTGTTTACCAACGACATAACACGTCTGACTTACCACATTGGAACCAACAAATCCGACGCGTAACTTTTGATCCCCATTTGAAAAAGACCAAGGTAGCTGACGAGTCACCCCATTTAATCGCACTTCGTGATCTTGCATCAAGGATATTACCTGACACAAATATAACAATGATGAAGATTATATCAAATGATAGGAGTATGTGTGGCATTACGCGACGGGGATCTGAGACCACCATGAAGTCATGAAGGCATAATGGCAATTTAATTCCATATCGAAGAGTTAAACAGGTAAAGGCACCCACGGAATTTAGTCAACGTCTCCTGCAAAGTAGTATTTGTTAGTGATTGAATCTTTGGCAGCGGATTTGGCCTAACTGCATTCTCATTCAGAATAGGACGGTCGACCCTATATGCTCAGGTCAGGCGTGATTTGAACTAGCCTTAGAGCCCAGAGATCGTGGATTCAATAATCCACAATGAATTATGCGTACCCACCTGACCATAAACGCTCACGTAAACCTCTCTAATGACACTTGCTCCAACATTTCCTTCCCATGGCTCCGTCAAACACGTGACATTAATCGGATTCGCTAGTGACGTATCTGATAACACCAGGTAATACTCGCACTCCCCTTGATAGCTGTACATGTCGTTTTCGAACGTAATCAAGTGTGGATCCCCGTAACCATTACACATTTTTCTTTCTGAAAGTAAATTTAATACACCTTGATGATTTGCTTTGAGTCGTATT